CATCACCACCTATCTTCACCTGAAATGCTCATATTTACTAAGTCTTTTTTGTCTGTTTATCCGACATTTTCATGCAAGAATAATATACAAAGCCCCTAAAGACTGAAACTTGCCCTTTTTTGGTTCTCTGTACTTGGCCCAGAATTTGAACTGCTGAACACATAGTAGGCACTCAATAAATATGTGATAATTCAATGACTGTTCCTGAAATCATTATCCAGTTCCTGCTAAGAACTCTTAACACCACTCCCTATCCATATCAGACAAATATCTCAGATGTTAAGTTTCCCATCTGATTCATGATGGAATTTCATTTAATCTCTTATCACGGATTAAAGGAGTTCATGTATTCTAAATAATCCAGCAGCTGTTTCCACTTTGGTTCACAGAGCTGGATTGTCCTTCTACTTTCTTGCACATCCTCTGTCTCTGTGTGCTCAAGTCCACAAATGTGTTTTAGGTCCCAAAGGAATTATTTTTCCAAGGAGGTCTTAAAAAAAGAGTTCCTCATTTCTTTAAAAATACATAATTGCTGCATCTCCTGAGATATTTTTACAGTGTGTCCCTAGAGGAGGAATTCCAGCTGATGGCCCAGTGCAGGGCAGAGGCCCCTAGACAGACAGTCTGGCTCCAATTTATGCTCTGTGCTAACATGGTTAATAGGCGTTAGTATTTTGATTTAGAGAAGTGCTGTACTGGATCCTGACTGGTTATACACTGGTAACATCTGGCTTAGGATCACACGTTTAAAGGCCAAGGGTTATTATTCTCTTCATCTTCCTCCTCCTCCTCCCCCTCCTCCTCCTCACCCTCCTTTTCCTCACCCTGCTTCTTCTTCTCTCTCTCCCCCTTTCTCTCTCTCCCCTCCCCCATGCTGCCTCCCCAGTGAAATGTCTTAGGAATAGTTCCAGGTTTTGATAGAGCAGTACACAGAATAAATTGGCAGAAGTCAGCTTGTCCCATATTAAACTCTGTTGTAGACCCTTTGAACCTTTTGGAACTGTTAAATATGTGTAATATGTATCAGAGCTTCCACAAAACCCTGTTAGTGCCTCTATTATCCCACTTTTTGCCTCTATCCAAGTTTTTGCAATCACTTCATTTTAGACTCTAAACTCAACACTTACTTCAGTTAAGCAGAAAAAAAAATGCAACTCTTGATTCTTAGGGTGCCTGTAATTCTGCAAACATCTAATGGAAATGAGCAAACATCTCTGGATTGTTGGATTCAGTCCAGAAGTATGTTTCACTCTCAGATGCCTGATAAAACAGTGGGCTTGCAGGCACTGGCAGTTCCTGCACAGTAGTGTCTGGCAAGGTGGAGATATCCAACATTACACACACCAAATGCCCAGTCATCTTTCCTAGATTCTTAGATCTGTGGGTCTTTCAGCTGGAAAAATGCAGCACTGTAATCTTCTTACTCAGAATTAGCTGTCCCAGTGACTTAGTAAACTGGAAAAAGCAAAAAGTAAAATTAGATATTTGAAAGTAAGCCCTCACCAGACATTCTCTTAGAAACAAGACCACCACCTCTTACAGGCATGGTTTTCTTTGGCTTGTGACATGACTGTCCCTGGCCCATCTGTGCCAAGCCTTTGGCACGGGTGATCAAACACCTCCCTTTCAACAGGACTTGCTCTCTGGAAACCTTCATAAAATTCAGCTAGTTCACACTCCGGCAAACCTCAAACCTAAACTTTCCCAGTTAACAAATGATATTTTGCCAAAATGCTTACTAAGTCCTGGCTCTAGGAGAGTGTGTAATGTGGAATCACCACAGCTTGAAAAACAAATGAACAGCCCTCCCAGTGCCATGGGGTTGCATTCCAATGGAGTGCTCAAATAGAGTTTTCATCATAGCATATGCTAGGCTTGCTTGCCCAAGGATTCTTGAGTTTTTTTTTTTTTTAATTATATTTGTTTGCATGCTTATCAGGTGCACAAAATGCATTCTTCATGGATTTTTCTTCCACTGTTTGCATGCATGGAGAGTTGGGTATTAGGAAGCATGGACTCAATGAAAGTAGCAATCAAAGAGAAGCAGTTTTGTCCCATCCCTGTAAATCTGATCTGTAATGCTAAGAATGTGAGGAATGAACATCAGAAACTCAATAATTTTATTTAAAACTTAAAAGGAAAATTTGACCAATCATAAGATAAGGGTTTAACCAACCTAGTCTCCAGAAGGAAAACCTTTTAAATAAGATATTTCTGAACCCCACTTGAAATATATATCTGTAGGGCAGTAATCATCAAAAACATAACAGAGGAGTGGAGCGTGGAGCCCAGTTTTATTGTCTTGCATCAGTGAACATTCCTCAAAAGCATAGAGCGTCACTAATGGAATTATATGTTTTCATGCTGTAATTACATTTGATTTTTCCTGATATTTCTGCAGACGTTTTGTCCATGGTTCCATGACTAGGCAGAATATTTACTACTTTTCTCTGTCCTCTGCATACCTAATGCACATCCACCCCCGAAGAAGAAAAAGGGACTAATCATAGGAATTTTTTAATAGAAAAAAATTTTTTAAAAAATACACTGGGGCCAATGTTGTGACACAGTGGTTTGAGCTCCCACTTGCAACACTAGCATCCCCTTTTGGAGTGCCAGTTTGAATCCTAGATGCTCCTTTTCTGATCCAGCTCCTGCTAATGTGCCTGGGAAGGCAGCAGAGGATGGCCCAAGCACTTGGGCCCCTTTATATATATATATCTGTATGTATATGTTTATATATGTGTGTATATATATATTTGTGTGTATATGTATATATATTTGCATATATATATATATAAACTCTGAAGGCTGAATCAATATATACATAGATATTTATATATAAATCAAGAATATATATATATATAAAACATTCAACCTTCAGAGATTTTCTTTTAGCAAAAGTAAAATGAACATTAAAAAGGGGGGGAAGGATTTTAAATTTGAAAGAAACAGAGGGTAGGGTTCTTTTGAGCTCTAAAACTCCTTGAGACACAAAACAGGTGTTTAATATTTCTGTTCTTATTTTTGAGTGAATATTTGTTGGATAAAACACAGTTTACTAGATCTTTGTGTCCATTGCCTCAAAGGATCCTGACACTGTAGTATAGACTCTGGCAATAGAATCAAGCTGACTGTGGGACACAGTGCCAGGACACCACCGAGTGCATGCATAGTCAATACCCATGTTTAAGACATAAGATTTTCTAGCTGTTGAATCCACAGATGCCTCTTATGAGGAAATGTAAGAAAATTATGTTGTACTATGACATAGTATTGTCTTTGTGTCTCCATCTTCTCTCACATCAAGTCAGAGAGTAGGGTTCTATAAATCTCAATGACCCTATAGCACTCAGTTACTCAGCTCCTGTTTTTTAGCATGTATGTCCCATTCTCTAGTTATAATGGCAACAGAACACAGGGCTGACACTTCAAATATGTTTACACCACGGGGTTTCCTCCTTGAAGCGTTACGGAAGGAATAAATGCATAGACACGATGTAGATGTGCAGTGAGGAAGGACTTCTACTTGCAGATGGAATCAGTCCAGGGACATAGGTGAAGACCACTCGGCCTAACCTAGTTATGCATTCTTATCATATGTTGAAGAAAAGTCACCATTACATTTTCCCAAGTTCATGCACATTTCTTGAAATCCCATTTATTAGTATGTTCAGTTCTTTCCTCCCAAATCCCTTCAGTCTGGCTCCTGGCCCAGCCACTCAACCCAAATCACCCTCTGAGGTCTTCCAAAACAACTTCTCAGCCAAAACCAATAGTATTCTTCTAGGCTTGTCAGCTTTATTCAAAACCATATTCTTCTCTTTGCTAACACCCATCTGGTCTCAAATTCTACAGATGTGTCCCTTCCAGGTTTTTGGTTTTCCTTACCTCCACAGTCACACCTGTTGGAGCTCTTCTTTATACAATATTCCAGTGTTGATAATTGAAGCACAATATTTATGCATACCTTACTTCCCTATTCATATCACTGAAGTCCCTTTACTTTTTAGTGTTTCACTTCTTGATGCCAGGCCTTCAGCTGCAGTTAATCTCAGTAATAAAACAGCGCTGGTCTTGATTCTCAGCTCCTTGCTGCTGTTTAATATCTTGGTTTTTGTAAACAAAAATTGAGTCATTTTGACTCTTTATAAACCCCTTTACTGTCATTAAACTTCTCAAAGCATATGTTTTCTTGATTATACTTACTGAGTTAATGTTTCTTAGCTATACTCCACTCTTCCCTCTTCAGACTTAGTCAAATACAAGGATTTTTTAAAAGTATATGGAAAGTTGAATCACCTGATACATTGATCGAGTGCAAAATTTTTGAATTTCATGCATAGTGTTATCAAAATATTTAATTTCTGTGGGATTTTTGAAGATTCCCCCCACATAGATTAGACCAAATTATACACGTATGTCTGGGTAGAGATTCTTATTAACCCATTGATCAAATTGCAGTTAAAAATGAGACAGTGATTGTACCATCCTCTACCAGCTCTTCGTATTCCACCTAAAATAACATTTGATGCTCAAGACCTACACACATGCAATCAACCATTTATCTCCATCTTCTAATTCTGATGTTCCCATTCTTAAAGAGAAATCCTTTCCTCTTTTTAGCAAGTATGCTGTATTCTTCAGTATGCTATCCAAATACCTTTCTCCAAAAGACTTTCCATGGAGCATATGGGAATTGTGTCGTATGAACCAGTTAGTTGTCCTCCTCCTTCTCTCCTGAACACACAGCTTAATGTAAAATGGATCATCATTCTTTATGTGTGTGTAAATTCACGTAGAGTCACAGGTGTAGCCACTAATTTGGCACGTCTCAACCCTCTGGAGAGACACATTTTTGCAATATTGGAAAAGAATTTGAACCTTGGGTAAAATTCATATAGTCTTCTCTTATCTTCCACAACAATATGCACTTAAAATGCTTTAAATAGTAACCATGGTTGCAGAAATTTTACATCATCTTTCAATTTTCTTTTCAGGATCCTCCTATGGCTGTGACCCTTGGACTCCGAATGGAGGAAATGATTTTTAATCTTGCTGATACACATTTGTTTTTTAATGACTTAGAGGTAAGAATTTTATAGGGTAAGAATAGTTGTATTCAAATCTAAAATGCTTAGATGGTTTCTCTATATGTAGATAACCTCAAAAAATAGAAAGAAATTAAGCCTGAAAAGCCCATAAAATTCTTGTCAAAAAAATCTGCATACACAACTACAAGCAGAAAGCTAAATTGTGTTCCTGTGTAACAGATACATCCAGGAGTGTACTGAGAACAAAATCTCCTGGAAAAAGATGTGGTCCACTTTGTTCTCACTTATTGTATACTCCTGTACATACTCCTGATTCTTTTGATGCCCCAACCACAACCCTCATGGCACTTTTGGAATCAGCATTAGCTTTTCCAGGTTACTAGGCAGGATGCTATTTAAGTTAATGCCTAGAAAATATGCAGAGGTACTATTCATGGTGCTAGCATGGATCATTAAATTTCACAGACAGTCTGAAACCTAACTTTAGACAATACTGCCATTCCTCATTTCCTCCCTTCTGGATAAAATGATGCTAGACTTATTTATGTTGCACATCTGATGGGTTTCAGTGCATTTATTTCTTCTTTTACTAATTTATTTTTTGATTACCCACCTTAAATGGTAATAGAGTTTGTTAGTGGGAAACAAGAGGAAGAAAAAAATAAAAACAACAAAGTAGAAGCAGTCAAGAAAAATATCCTCGGAGTAGCTGAATATGAACTGCCAAGGGTAATATAACCTGTGTGCTAAAGACCTGAGTTATTAGACAATCAGATGCTAGAATTTGAAATAACTAATGAATTTGGCCACTGAATAGAAATACTTCCCAATTGAGCATAACTGTGCTGCACTAGATCTCTATCCCCCTTTAAATTATATGTTTAAATTATTTAATATATATTAAATATGTGTATTTTGCTGGGGAGAAAAAGTCCACTGCTGAAAAACCATGTCCAAGGTTACCTGTTAGTTCAGTGGTAGAACTGGAATTGAAGCAAGTTTTCTGGCTCCAGCATGTTCCATGCTGAAACTAAAAGAAATGAGAAAGAAAAATCAAGTTGGTGAGCTAACCAAATAAGCTTTTAAAATTGACAAAATCTTTTTTGAGACAAGAGAAGAAAGTCAGTTACATTTGAGACATGAGACTAAAAATTAGTTCAGGACATCCCATAAATGCATGTGCTGAAAATCTACCAAGTCATAGCATGTTGTTGTTGTTGTTTTCTCTGTAGTGAATCCATGTGTTTTTACTGGATAATAAAATCACTGTCTGTTTAAATAGTTTTAGTTTTTTTTCTTTAATGGACCATATGAAAGATCAGTGTATCTAGACAGGTTTTCCTGCTTTAAATAATGAGAAGTAATAATCACCTCTCTTAAAATCTGATTTAAATTAATCCTACTACTCTTTACTGTCTAGCATACAGAATGATTTTATATATACCCGTTAATCAGGAACACATTTCAGCTTGTTTGTAACTTGAATTTTTTATTCACGGTGATAATATTTTAGATTCATTTTTCCATTGGCTGACATAGATGAGTCTCATTCCACAAAGAAGTCTAAAATTAATGCTTTCAAAACTTTAAATTGGCTTTATCCAAGTTTTATTGTGTTTATTTCATTTGGTTAATTAACTTTTACTAAAAATAAATGAAATTTATTCCTTATTGGAGTGTTGGAAGCCAGATGGAATAAATTTTCTACTCAAAACACCGAAGTGAGAAGGTGAAAGTAGCATTTAATGAATTTATAAATACCTTTAGCAAGTTTAAAATGAATATTGGTATATCAAAAACATGTTGTGGTCACGTTTGGTGCTTTAAGACTTGTTATTTTGGATTAGAATGCCATGTTTAATGTGTATTTAAAATCTCGGCAGGATCTCATGATAAAAATGGGAACTGAAAAAGTATTGGTGTCGGCTTTCTCTTTTCTGATTATAGCTTTTTAGTTGAGTTTTATAATGTGATAAAAATTCCATTTGACTCAAATCCTAAAACATAGCTATTTAACAAAATAAATCAATGAAATAATCGAGTGCCCGTATATAAGTTGACTCCACTCTCCTTATACATGCACACACATGCATGCTTGCACATCCACATGAAGTGCACCAGGAAACTCAGACGTTTATTCTGTGGAAGGCTTTTTTCAGCCTAACAGTTAAGATTCTGGTTAAAACCCCTACAACCTATATCAGAGCACCTGGGTTTGATATCTGGCTCTGTCTACTGCTAATGCAGACCCGGTGTCACTGCCACCCAAATGGGAAGCCTGGATGAAACTTTGAACTCTGACCTCTGGCCTGGTCCAGCCCTGGCCAGAGTGGACATCTAGGAAGTGAAGTCAGTCTGTCTCTCTCTCTATCTCCACCTCTTAAATAACTAAATAATTAATTTTTTAAAAGTTAATTATTGACTTAACTGACATAAACAGGCATTCATTAATAAATGTGAACAATAACTTTCAAGATCATTCAGTGTAGTTGCATGCATACCTACTATTCTTCTGCATCTGACTTTGACAATCAACTTTACTTTCCACAATTTCTCACTTTGATAAACCTCTTGCCACCATAAATTATTGACCAAAATTAAGTTATTTATGCTTCTGTTGACTAAAAAAGAAATTCCTCAAGAGAGTATCTCCACCTTTACCTTATTATAGTTTTCCCCCCTTGTATATTTAATCTCACAGGACTCTTTTTTTAACCTAAAAATCCGATTTGAGACTCAAATCCTTAAATGGTTACTGCAACATATGTAGTAGCAGCTGCTTCTCACATAATTCCCTAAAAGATCCAGATTTAAACCCTTCTCACAGACACTTCACTGCATTCTGCCCAACTGCAGAGAAGGCAAATGCTACTCCTGCTAAGAGAATGTTCTCTGTTTGAATAACGTGTTATTTCAGTTAGAATAACTTCCAGAAAAAAAGGCACCAGGGACTTTGGGGTCACAGAAGTGAGAAAAGACTAATGTGGAATTTAACTGATAAATATCAGTGACAACTTTGTGGTCACCTTGTACGACAAAATTAAAGCATTTCAGATTTGTATCGGAATTATTTCAAATATTTGAGGTATTCTATTGAAATTTGTTAATGCCAAAGCACTACATGCAATGTTTTTAGTATTTCAGGTTTTGGTCAAAATGGTTCTTGCAAAGGTCTCAGAGTGAAAACTAATAGAAGAATAATTATTTAGCTTTTCCTAAAAATGTAAGTAATTGAAGTTCAAGTTTCTTTCACTGGACTTAGTACTCAGGCAGACGTCCAGAGTCAACAGGCATAGTTAACTAGGCATAAATTTAAAGAGAAGTTCGATTTGGAAAAACCTCAAACATAACTTCAAATGCAAAACTCATGGTCCAGGAGGTTTGAGATACCATCGTCCTCAGGACTAAGAAATCAATTTGCGGACAATTTATGTACAAATTAGTCATGTACATTAATACTTGAAATGTTAGAGAATTTCTCTAAAAGTTAGAATTGAAAGAGTGAAATATGTCTTATAATTGCACCTATGAAGTACATGAAATCTGTTATCTTTATAGTAACAAAAATACATTGAAAAAGGATACCTTCTGATTATCAGAGTAATTTACAAGAATCCCCCCATTTTGAATATCTTAGCTTATTATAAAAGAGAGACATGGAAGTTATTTACATGAAGATTCAGAATTTCAGTGTAACGGGTAACTTTCCTGTGATACCAATTCTTTCTTTTTAATATTTAGATTAATTGGATTCTTTTTTTTTAAAGATTTTATTTATTTATTTGAAAGAGTTACACAGAAAGAGAAGGAGAGGCAGAGAGAGAGAGAGAGAGAGAGAGAGAGGAGGTCTTCCATCATCCGCTGATTCACTCCCCAATTGGCCATAATGGCTGGAGCTGGGCAGGAGCCAGGAGCTGCTTCTGGGTCTCCCATGTGGGTGCAGGGGCCCAAGGACCTGGACCATCTTCTGCTCCTTTCTCAGGCTACGGTAGATTGCTGGATCGGAAGTGAAGCATCCGAGACTCCGGCTGGCACCCATATAGGATGCCAGCACTGCAGGTGGCGGCTTTACCCACTACACCACAGTGCCTGCCCAGTGATACCATTTCAGTATGACTTAACTTCAGTTTATACACTCCCCAAGAATGCTAGAGTTTCTAAGGAATGCTTCTTGTCATCTAGAGCTAATTTGGTGCCTCCATATTCAGGAGGCAGAAGTTCATCTCCAACTGTTTTGCTAGCTGGTAAAATGTCCCCCCTTTTCTCTAAACCCAGGTCTAGAGCTACTAATAAGGCTTTTGATACTTTTCTCTGAGACTTTTCTAAAAACATAAGGCCTGCCTTGGTTACAGAGGGCCAGGGTCAAGGCCTGTCCGGACACAATTCCAGCAGCCTAAGCCCCGGGTCCACCCTACTGTGCTTGCACTACTCTTCCTATCAGTGTCTGCTCACAGTCCTCACCTGCCAAAGTGCTGGCATTGTACGTCACCATAACTATGTGTTCAAAAGTTGATATGATTGTGGCAATACTGTCAAAATGATCATTTGTCTGGACTTCTGCCATTTGTTAAAGAATTATTGAGTGATTATTTTATAACAGATTATGACTGCAAGTGAGAGTTTATCCTCTTGAACCAAATACAGCCCTCAGGGAGCTGCTAGTCAGATTACATTTTCTGGCCTTTACCTGTGGCTGTGAATTGAGATTTAGTCAGACATTGCTAAAACCATGATTTATGTAAGTTATATGAACTTTTAAAATTAGTTCTTTCACATTATATGCCAAAATTTTACTGATTGTAATAACTATTGACTTTTGTATTTTTAAATGATACTTGATTCAACTAAATCACCTTAAAATTGACGTAGGATTAATACCCTCTGTGTGGAAAGCTGGGGTCTAGATATTAAATATTTGACTCCAAGATACTTCCAAGTCCTATTATGAAGATAAATAACAGCTGAAAACCCTTTGTTTAGGATGGCATATTTTCAAATATAATGAATTTTTAAGAATTGATTTTGAGGGGTGGGTGTTGTGGCACAATGAATTAAGCTACCAGTTGGAACACCCACATCCCATGTCGTAGTGCCTGGTATCAAGTCCCAGCTCCACTTCCAATCCAACTTCCTGCCAGTGCACATTCTGGGAGGCAGCAGATAATGGCTCAAATACTTGAATTCCTCTCGCCCATGTGAGAGACCCAGATGGAATTCTTGGCCTGTCCTAGCACCAGCTGGCATCTGAGGAATGAACAAGCATATGGAAGATCTCTCTCTCTCTCTCTCTCTCTCTCTCTCTCTCTCTTTCTCTCTCTCTCTCTCTCTATGTACATGTATTTGTTTCTCTCTCTGCCTTTCAAATAAATAAGTACACAAACTTAAAAAAGGTTGATTTTGAGTGGTAAGCACCATGTGTACAATCAGAATCTGTATGAATAAAATAATTTAAGGCAAACAAAAGAAGCTATTAAACAGCTGAACTATACTTGTTTTAGGGTTACTTATTCAATATACTATTCCAATCATAATGTATTTATTATTCAGAGGACTGACTATTTTAAATGCCATAGCCAAATTCCACCTTCAGATCATGTAATATTTCAGTGGAGCTTTGCCAGTTATTTGAGGGCACACTAAAACTCAGAATAGCAAAGAATTGAGTCCTTATCTACAAGTTGCTATTTGTATGGAGCACTGTGTAACTGAAAAATTAAGTCAATTATGTAGACATATTTACGTATTAGTTATTTTCCTTGGAATTTATAGTACATCTGAGGTAGGTGTAAATCATTACTTTGATTTAAGATTTTAAAAACTTCAAAAAAGAAAATGTCAGCTCCTGTGATTATTTTTTTTCCTGTGTTAAAAGAGACTGGCTTTTTAAACAACACCAGCATGGTTCTTTCCTGATATATTTGGTCTAGCAAAACACAGGAAGTCATAGGAGTCTCCCAGGACACCATAGCTGAAGCCTACCCCGCTGTTGCTGCTCAGCAAATAATAAATAATAGTAATACTTAAGTACACATAACAGAAATTGGTGAAAAGGAACTCACATGATTAGCAAGAATTCAAAAGAGAATTTCTTATCAATAATTTTAAGATTAAAATTGTTTTTCTTTTAACTGCTCCTTGTTCCCTGCTGCCATTTATTTTCAGACCGTTTTTTATGGCACTCTCATGGATTTAGTTTATTGCATAGAAATGGCGCCATGGCCCAGCATAAAGCAAGAGTAAGATGGGAGATGATGGATAAATGCTGCCATCTACTGGCAAGCATCTCATCAGATGGAAAAAACATGGTGATGAGCAGCATTTGAAAAAATATATATATTATATGTAATGTTTATATATATATATATATAATGTTTCTAATGTTTTCAACAGGAATGTGATCAAGTTCATATAGATGATGTTTCCTCAGATGATAATGGGCAGGACTTAAGGTAAGCTATGCCTTTCAGTATGCTGTTTCCTACAGAAATTCAGCTATGGAGTTTTGCACATGTAATTATTTCTTTTATTTCTTTTTAATGTATTTTGGGTGTTGCAGTACCTACAGTTTTGCAACTGATGGCTTCCATGCAGCTGCAAGTAGTGCAAACCTTTGTTTGCCAACAGGTGTAAGAGGAGGGGTTGACTGGATGAGGAAGTTGGCTTTTCGTTACAGAAGAGTGAAAGAATTATATAATACCTACAAGAACAATGTTGGAGGTATGTGTGAATTTTTTTAAATCAAATAAAGGCTGTCCAGGTATAGGGAGGATTTAAACTGTAGTTTCATGTTAGAGGTCGCCCTCCAAAGGATATGTTGAATCACAACACGACTTTGAAGTTTCTTAGAATTGGTTGGGGGAAAATTATCTGCAAAATAAAGCATGCTTTGTGAAAATTTGTGCCCAGTCGTTTGGTTAAGATTTCTACAGGGCATTTAGTTCACTTCATCATCTGTTACACGGGACATTATCGAGAAAATCAGACAGAATAATTGACTGGGGCAATGGGAAGAGGAGCTTTCTAAAGAAGAGAATCACAGAGACATTAGCAAGCATTCCCTTTCTGGAGCTTTATCAGATAAAAATTTAATCAGTAGTTTACGTAATTTCAAAGATGCTCAACAATCTATTTTCTTTTTAAAAATTGCAATTTTTTTACTGGAAGTGTGACTTTCCCACGTGCAGTATAGTTTTAACTATCATTATCATGATTTTTGAAACTTCAAATACTCTTTTAGAAAAATCCAAACCATTTTATAACCATCTGTATATTTTATAGGTGATATAAAAACCCATGCTATCAAAACTAAGATCCTGATTGTGCTTCTAGACATAACAAAACATGATTATCTCTGTTGCTACGATGAACTTTACAGCAACAGGATTCCTAAGATTAACTCTGAGGTCACAGAAGATTTTCTTCCTAGGATTTTGACTTGTTTCTTCTTTTTTAAAAAGGAAGGATGATGGGACAACATAAATTGGAATCCAAAATGAAATGATTAAAAGCTAAATACATGTGTTCCTTCTATATATAGGTATATTCACATATATGTCATATTATATAGTAAAATGTTCATACATACCATATTTTTCACATATACCCATTTACATCTTGAGGGTGAGACTGTGTGTCTGATCACCTTGTATCCCAGTGTCTAGCTCTGCGGCACACAATATATTCTCAATAGTTACTCACTAACCACAAGATAACAGAAACAAAACTGTAGATAATGGTAATGTTAGACCAACAGGGAGCTTAGATATGGAATTCCTTCATTTCCAAATAGGAAATTGAGCTCCATGGACCACTTGCTTGTGCAGTATTCTAGGGGATAAAAAACCTCTGATTTTCCAATTCATTTCAACGCTCTCTATGAGAGACATTTGTAAAATCAAATAAACAGATTTTCTAGTTAAAAATCCATTGAGAAGAGTATATTTAATCTAAAAATGAATATTACTTTGGGAAATCGGAATTGATTTTTTAAAGATTTACTTATTTGAAAGGCAGAGTTAACAGAGACTGTGTGTGTGAGAGGGATATCTTTCATGAACTGGTTCACTCCCCAAATGGCCATAATGTCCAGGGCTGGGCCAGGATCCTGGAACTTCTTCTAGATCACCCACGTGGATTCAGGAGCCCAAGAGCTTGGGCCATATTCTACTGCTTTTCCAGGCACATTAGTAGGGAACTGGATCAGAAGTGGAGCAGCTGGGATATAAACCAGGGCCCATATGGGATGCCGATGTCTCTAGCAGCGGCTTTACCCTCTATACCACAACACCTGTCTCTGGAATTGACTTTTATCATTTATAGTATGTCACTATTTCCTACTTTTAGTGTATTATTAAAATTATTTTAACAATAAGATTACTATAAAAATAATAGTATCCCTTAAAAAGTGTAAAAAAAGAACCTCAGAGTCCATCTTCTATCATACATGAACAGTTATTTTATTGGAATGAAGATGAGTAACAGTTGCTGAAAATTATAAATTTTCACTAAAAACTTTCTCACCTGTTTAGGTGCTCCCAATGTGCTGAAGTACATGTCAAGTAACACGATCTTGTTTTATTACAAAAACAAGGGCTTAATCAGTTGAAATAAGCATTAGCATTCCTACCCGTTTTCTCATCTTTCTTGAGCTTCACCTCAGTGTAGTTTCCCAATATCGTCTGTAAGTGTGTCATACACTTTGGGATTTTTTTTTTTAGTTCTCAGTTCCTTTTTACAAAACAAAATAATTATACTAGTGTCACTAGTAACTAGTATTACTGATAATATTAGAAACATTCTAACAGCTATGTATAATTCCATAATTACTTTTTTAACTTTTATTTAATAAATACAAATTTCCAAAGTACAACTTTTGAATTATTGTGGCTTTTGAGCAGGCTGGGCAGGGTGGGCTGTGGGCTAATCTCTGAGCCTGTGTCTGGGTTCCTTCCCAGTTGAGACCACCATAATTACTTTTTAATTTTTAAAACAATTTAAAAATTTGAGAGGCAGAGGCATACACAGAACATCGATCCATTTGTTCACTTCCCACATACCCAGAAGAGCCGGGGCAGGGCAGATCCAGGAGCAGGTAGTTCAATCCAGGTCTCTCACTTGAGTGACAGGAGCCCAGTCACTTGAGCCATCACCTGCTTCCTCTCAGGGTCTGCCTTGCTAAGACTCTGAAGTCAGGAGCAGGAGCTGGGAATTGAACTCAGGCTCTCCACCATGGGACAAGGCTGTTAAAACCCTGGGCTAAAAGCCTGCTCTGTTACTGTTTCAAATTGGAAATAATGGTGATTATTAAAAAACTAAGCATTTTCAGATAACCTAATAGCTGAGGTCTGGGAGAGCTTCACTGTTCCTTCAGACCTGATCTATCTGTACCTTGGAGTGGAGCCCTGTCTTGAGAATGTTCTGACCTCTTCAGGTGGCTAGCATCCATTGCACTAGAGTCTCAGCTCAAGGAGTGCAGAAGCTGGGTCCGCTTTTCAACTATTACATCCTCAATGTTTAGCCCAGTACCTCACACCCAGAAGCAGTCTGATGAATATCCTTTCCATGACTGAATGAATAATCAATTCTGAAATGAAGGACTAATATTGATATAAATCATTTTTGACATAGGCTTAAACAATGATCCGTTCTAGACAGAAGGGGGACTGAATGACTGTTCCTGAAAAATACTCCTCTGCTGATTCTGCCTTCCTTTTCGGTGCTGCAGGACTCCTTGGCCCTGCCAAGAGGGATGCATGGCTGCAGTTAAGGGCAGAGATTGAAGGTCTGACAGATTCCTGGCTAACAAATGCACTTAAGTCTTTATCAATTATTAGTACTAGGTAAGTGGGATGGTTGTCCTTTCCGTGTCTATTATATTGCAGATGTATTTCTAATAGCACCACATAGATCAAAATGTTAATTCCTAGACTATTTTAGAGTTTGAAGAGAGCTAAATTCACTGAGTCCAGAGATTTCAGTGTGTGTTTGTGTTGGCACAGGAGGAGGGGTGTTGCTTCTCAGAATCCCAGTTTGCATCCTCTACCCATCTCTTGTCATATCTCTGATGCTCCCTATAGAAACGTTACATGGGGCCTTTGTATATGAAGAAAGAAAACACCCTGTGGAGAAGGGAGAGGGATGATGGCAAAAACAAAATGGCACCGTTTATGCAAAGAATCTATGTTTTATATCCCGGGTACCATAATAGAGAAAATGCATCATTTAAATGCACCAGAAAAGCAAGTGTAAGCTCTTGAAAAATTCTTAGTTTCTGTTTTGTTTGAACAAAACGGTGAAATGCTGTCTTGTTAAGCAACAACAGGAAAATGTGATTTTAAGAAAAAATTGGTATAACAAGAAAGAGGTGGAGAAAAAGCATCCAATGCACACTGAATAGTTACATGCTATGGAACTTGTTAAATTGTGCATATGTATCACCATTGGTGGTCTTCACAACGCCTGGGAAAGTAGAAAAATAAATACTTTGTTGAATTATATAACAGAGCCTTTAGAAAAGTTAACCTACCATCTGAACCCAATTCTTCTTCTATGAATATAGTGTAAGGACATAATTAAAGATGTGGGAAAAAATAAATGACATTATTTATAATATTGAAAAATCTAAAACCATCTAAGTCTCTCAGCTTAATTTCTTAAAATTACAGTCCATCCAAATAATAGAGTAGTGTGCACACCTTATGTTTTGTTGGGAGAGGGGGAATAACAGATTATTTTATATAAATAAATGGGCTCATGATATAAATAAATCAGTAAATAAAGTAGAATACAGTGAGAAGATCCTAATGGGAAAAAATCCACAAATGTCAAGAAATATTGAAAGTAAATGCTCAAATAGAGACAGCATATATCTTTGGACTGCTAAATCACAATTGAAGCTTGAATTTTCTTCTTTACATCTGTCTGCCTTTTGCAAAATTTCTATTATAATTATATGCCATTTTTATAATTAAATAAATAATGCAAACGAAGGTCACATGGTGTAAAAGAGGTGAGATTTCCTATCAAAACTATGTCTCTAAACTTAAAAAGCTTGTGCTTTATTTTATTCTACCACGTTTTCATTCTGTAGCATTTATTGATATTTGACCTTGAATAGCATCTTATTTTCACAAAATAGGACTTTACTTTTCAGTATTAATTAATTATCAGCTATTATTTAGTTATTGTCTTGCTGATAGGCAGTAACTGTCGAGTATTGAAAGGGGCCATTGACTATGGAATGTAGAAACCATAATGCTGGTTTTAAATCTGCACTATTTGAAATTATATAATGTTATAAAATAAATGTCTGTTTTCTCCCTGTGTAGGAGTAACTGTGTAAATGTCTTGGTAACGACAACCCAGCTGATCCCAGCACTTGCAAAGGTTCTGCTCTACAGTTTAGGAGGTGCTTTCCCCATCGAGAATATTTACAGTGCAACGAAAATAGGTAAGGAAATTATTTTAAACTGTGTATGGAGTATGTTCTCATCCATACTTGAAGGATTTTTCTCCAAATCTGTTTGTACACGGTTCCATTTTTCATCAATTTGGCTGTTGGAACATAGATCAAAGATAGATAGGTTCATATAACAAAAACCCTGCAACTCATTTTGTATATTTTATGAGAACTGTTCATTAGTGAAATTCTGAAATCAGTATCTGGGTATTTTTTACTCATTCTATGTGTTTTATAAGTGTTACAGCACATGTTATCTAAATAATAACACCGTATCTCTAACAATGGAAATTACTAGTTTAAGTAGTATGGACTACAGTATATCTCCTTTCATATACAATAATTAGATCTAAGGTTAAAGTGCTGTTTTGGTGTTACATTGTTACATGGGAATCTCAGATAGGTTGAACTGCTGAGGAGAAAAAAGTTCCAGAAAAACATAAGGACTTCAAAGTCAGAAAATATCATCTGAGTTTTCATTAACATGAGTGACTTCAAATCAATGTTTCCAAAAATGTGCAGTAGTCACCAGAAAACTACAGCCTCCCTTATGTAGATCATATAGGTGGAGCCATCTTTGTCTTTAAGTGCATTTTGCAGACTCAGGTATCTAAGAAACAGTTGAAAACAAGCCTCCTCAACTTCTGCCATCTTGAAAGAGTTAAAAGAAAACAGCTCATGTATTCCACTGTCTGTCAAGGAAATGCCAGAGAAAATAAATGAATTGTGTAATGTGCCCTGAAGGTCAACAAACATAGGCTTTGGCACCCTGACAAGAGAAGTTTAAAATCCTAAAATCCCCCACCAAAAATAACCTGCCCTGGGCTTTGTGGAGGTCTGATATTGGCTGGAGTAGAAGGAGGCCCCATTTGCAGCTGTTTCAGGAGTGCAGTTAACAAGAGCCAAGCTCTCATGAAGTAAATTCCACATTGTCACAAGCACCTCAGTTCAGAGCCTAGCTTCCAGTACTATGCATGTTTTATATGAGTGTATGTATTTATGCTATCAGGATTTAAAAATACACTGTGATCTTGCTTTTTGACAAATCCAGTAATTTTATAACAGAATAAGCATTTCTCTTATGACAATATTCTTTGTTAGGGGCAAAATTTTTCCTTATATTCAATGTGAGAAAATAAACAAATTTTATTTTCCCTTTAAACTAATCTTTTTTTAAAGTTCTGAACTGCCAGATTAAGGAGGGAAAAGGTGCAAGTAGCCATGAAAATTCTGGGAGTAAAATTGAAAGAATAATGCCAATGTTGAAAAAAAACAGAGAACACGTGATGATATTCCCACAGTGCAACTGTAGGGTCCTTGTGTATCATAGGATACCACAGTCTATGACCCAGTTGGACAACAATTTTGGTACAATTAATCTGAGTGTATTAGCTTGTACCTACTTGAAGAAACAAATTGTTTATGAAATTAAATCCACATCTTAGTATTTCCTTAGAGATAAACTGTCAGCTTTTCACAATAGCATATCCAGGTGACTATACTGCTTAAATTAGGTGAAATTAATTTTTAGAAATAAACAAGTGTTAAATCTTGAGTTGCCTGTACAGTTTTTCTGATACTCCTTTGGTGGAATAAATCATAACAACATTTTCTCTAGGTCAAGCACTTAACCCCACTGATGTTTTTGGAGTGTAAAACACATTTGTTTAATAATCCATCCTGAGACTTACACTGTTCAAACATGTGTGCTGGTTTCATAAACCCAGAGGTTGTAAGCTAGTGCAAATGATGTTCAAGAGAAATTAACTTTGACACTTTATGAATCTTTAGGTTAATGAATGCAATGGCTGGAAGAATAAGCAGTGCATTGTTTTTCAGGCAAGGAAAGCTGTTTTGAGCGTATAGTGTCCAGATTTGGCACTAACATAACTTATGTTGTGATTGGAGATGGCCGAGATGAGGAGCATGCCGCTAACCAGGTAACTTCACTCTGAACTTTTATCTCATTTATCTTCCAGGAAAAGAAAGTTGCTTTGAACGAATAATGCAAAGGTTTGGCAGAAAAGTAGTATATGTTGTAATTGGGGATGGTGTAGAAGAAGAACAGGCAGCAAAAAAGGTAACCTGTCTCAAACAATGTTGGTGTGATACTGTTAATGCAAGCCTTTTTGTTTGCATTCCTGTAGTTTGGCCCAGTGACAGCTTGACAAATGATTTAAATTCATAGATGTAAAGCAATAAAAGCATGAGAGGGTCAATACTTACATTCACATAAACCATTTGGAGTCTAGCATTTTTTTACCTGAAAGGACAAGAAATTCAGGAAAATTTTGTTATATTTCTTGTGTGTGTATAAAGTAAATATATATATACACAATAAATCTGTGGACACATATATGTGTCCATATGCACATATATATAGAGAGATGTATATATGCACACAAGGAACACAGAAATACATTACCCTGAGGTCTACAAGAAAATACAAAGGGAGAAATATTGTTAAGCACATGCATTTTAACAAGATAAAACATGTTAATGAGCTCCATGGAAAAGCCAAGTAAGTGGTTCACAGGTCCCTATTCCATGTGGTCCTCCTTTTGAGTGCCTTGATGTAGGTGTGCTCCATGATGATAAATGCTGAGGGAAGATTTAATCTCCAAAACCACTATGAGAAATTTTAATAACGACTACTGGCCGGCGCCGCGGCTCACTAGGCTAATCCTCCGCCTTGCAGCGCCGGCACACCGGGTTCTAGTCCCGGTTGGGGCACCGGATTCTGTCCTGGTTGCCCCTCTTCCAGCCCAGCTCTCTGCTGTGGCCAGGGAGTGCAGTGGAGGATGGCCCAAGTGCTTGGGCCCTGCACCCCATGGGAGACCAGGAGAAGTACCTGGCTCCTGCCATCCGATCAGCACGGTGCGCCAGCCACAGCGCGCCAGCCGCGGCGGCCATTGGAGGGTGAACCAATGGCAAAGGAAGTCCTTTCTCTCTGTCTCTCTCTCTCTCACTGTCCACTCTGCCTGTCAAAATAAAATAAAATAAAATAAAATAACGACTACTGGAATGAGACGGATTATTCAGATCCTTTTGTCCCAATTTAGAGGCAGTATGCCTCTCATCTACTATGAAACCATTGTCTGTTCTGGTAAGCCATTGGAACTTGATTGGAGGCAAGTAGCTGGCTTTGAATATATTCAGAAGATCTCATAGACCCTAGGTATTTAAATAAGTCTTTCATCTGGTCTGCATTTCCAAAAAGGAAAACAAGGCAAGTAAAAGCCATTGAATGGTTGCCTCCCCATCAACCTCTACCTCCAGACAGTCAATACAATATCAAGATCTGCTGCTTTCTTCACTAAATGACAGCAAAAATATCTTCTAGCTCAGAGAAAGGTGGTAGAATCTATAAAACAAGGTGAAATGATGAGTTAGTATTTTAATGTTGATTTATTGATTATTTTTATTTACTTTAAAGGCTTAGCTGGGCTAGGCCAAAGCTAGGAGCCATCAGCTCCACCTGGGCCTGCCATGAGGGTGGCAGTAGTCCAAGTACTTGGGCCATCATCTACTGCCTCCAAAGATGCAATAGCAAAGAGCTGTATTGAAGAGGAGTAGCAGGGACTCCTGGGATGTGGATGTTCCAAGAAGTGGTTTAACCAGCTACACCACAACACCCACCCCTGCGTTAATATTTTTAAACAATGACACATCAAGTTATACATTGTTTTACTTAGAAAAAATATTATTCTTATTATCCTGAGGACATTTTACTTATCCTTATTTATGTAGGTATTTGGAAACAAAAGACACAGAAAGAGATAGAATGCCCATCTATTGATTAATTCCCTAAATGCACATAATAACCTCTGTCTGGGACTGAAGCCATGATCCAAGAAATCAACTCAGATTTCCCACATGGGAAGCAGGAACCCAAATACTTGGTCCATCACCACTGCCTCTCAGGGTCTGCATTAGCAGAAGTTGAAGTAAGAGGTCAAAGCTGGTATTGAACCCACACACTCTGATTTAGAACACATGTATATTAACCAGCTTCTTAACCACTAGGCCAAACATCCATCACCTGAGGACTTACTTACTTACTTACTCATTTATTTATCTAATGTTCATTTTATTTGAAAGACAGAGATCTTCTGTCTTCTAGTTCATTCCCCAAATGCTTACAAATGTTACAGCTGGGCCAGACCAAAGCCAGAAGCCTAGAACTTTATCCTGTCTCCCATGTGGCTGAAAGGGACCTATATACCTGAGCCATCACCTGTTACCTGCCAGGGGGTACATTAGCAGGAAGCTGAATCAGAAGCACAGGAGTTGAGACTTGAACCAGGTATTCTGATACGGGAGGAAAGCATCCAAAGTGACAATTTAACTGCCAAGCCAGATGCTGCCCCCACCCCAAGACATTTGAATTCAATGTCTAATGAAAGCCTTCACTACACATGTGCATGTACTGGAATGTTCGCCTGATATCTTAAAAAAAAAAAAAGGGAAAAAAAAAACAACATAAGAAGTTTCATAAAAAAAAGTTGTGGCCATAATAGAGAAATGAAATCATTGATATCTATATTCAGTTAAAATCAAGCAAAATGGAGAAAGAGCACTCTATTTTAGAAGTTTTGGTGAGAATATGTTGTTAGCCGTTCTGGGAATTCTCCATACTTTTCCATCACAGGGAGCTGGTCAGGCTCTGCCTCCCACAGAGCACCTGGGCCTTAATTAGCAGTGTCAATGACCCAAGACAGCACATTGGCCCTAAGGACATTCTGTATGAGGTCAGGGCTGCAAACTCAAGAAATACGACTTGGATTGCTGACTGCTACTTGAAATGCTTCCAGTCACGCACAATCGAAATGTCTTCTGGAGTTTGTCAATGTCCTGAGTGCATGTTGTTTTGATTTTTCACATTGGCACCATAATTACACACAACAAACAGCAGTCATTGGTGCAGCCAATCCAGTGAATATTTGCGTGTTGTTTAGCCTATATGAAATTTATGTATTTCTAAGTCAAGACTATAAAATGCACTTTTCCAAGCCAAAAACAGTATATGCCCTTAAAATGAAAACTTATCAAGTCTACCCAAGTTATCCTTCCTAAGATAGCTGGACATGGTAAAACAATTGCTGTACCTTCTTCCTTAAACCTAAAACCTCAGGAGAAAAAGGCATGACTCCAAATGGCTAAGATCTTGTATAGAATGCTATTTCCAAATGGTTGTTTATGTAGTCATAGTTTTGGTGATGGTGAAGGCTTACAATTCTGTTTTGAAAAACAGGTGGTTGGTTCCTCTAGTACCCAGAATGCATGCTTTTCTTTTGGATGTAACAGTAATTGCATGTGCAGAAATGTTAAGTACTGGTTTGTTACCTCAAATAGATCTGAGCTGAATTTTAAAAATGTTAATTTCTAGGTTGAATTCCTGTGCTTTCATTTGACTTTCAACACACATTATTTGAGAAATATAAGAAGGAATCTAAAAGTTTAGACACAGGAATTTCTGTGAGCATAATTTTTCTCTCTCATAGAAATATAAAATGTGAGCTGTATATATGATTTTAAATTTTCTCAAAACAGCTTGAATTAATTTTAATAACATTAATAAAGCCAATATACCTGCAATATTATTTTTCAACATCTAATCAGTATAAAATTTATTAATGCAACATTGTGGGTTTTTTTGTTTCCTTTGTTCTGAGTCTTTGAATTCAGATTGTACTTTAAATGAGGCTAATGCATTTCAAGTTCCCAAAAGCCGCGGTGGCAAGTAGCTACCATGCCAAACAATAGAAAATTATATAGCTACAATGATTATTATCGAGAATGCCTCATTTTCTAAATAAAATGTTTTTCCATATTTTATATGTAAAGATATTTCCATATGAACATGAATGTATATTCCATACAAATATATTCCAGCACATGTCATCAACTCAGACTTATAAATAACGCTTTTGTTTTGTCAGTTGCTACAGGATAATGTTTTCTTTTTTTCATTATCATTCCCAGTGGGGTCTTTTCAGGCCCCTATTTTCCCCAAGCCAGCCCTTCCATGACATTACACACTTACACACTGTATACTAGTATACATTTGGAGCACTACAAACCATTAAAATGTCAAAGATTTTCTGCTCCACAAGGCTCTAGTTTTGTTCCCTTGGGGATGATATCTCCCTCGTTTAAGATGCATGCTGGTGTACATTCAACTCCATGCCAATGAAATAAATCAGATCAACTCTACCAGTAAGTTATTATTTATCCAAGACGGGAAAGAAAGTTATTATCTCCACAATTTCTTCTACTTTATGTGGTCCAACTTACAATTATTTTTCACATAGAAAAGAATTCACCCTCCTCTCCTGACAAACCAAGTGTTTTGGTCTTAGGAATTTCTTCATTTCATGTTATTTTATTTTTAACTGAGAGGTGGACCTTTACAAGAAATGTATTGGTGAAAACTTGCTTCATGTCAGCCAAGTAGAATTTTTATGCCTGGTTGCTTTCTCAGATACTGATGTTGATGATGATACATTCCAGAATAGGTAGGAAACTACCTAGGGAATTCCAATATTTGCTTTTCTTATCATTAAAATCCAGTTCAGATCTATTTCTCTATCATGTTGATGATGCCCTATTGGTGCTGCAAGTCTTCAAGTATGGTCATCCTTCCTTTAACTTCCCTTCCTTGAACTTGGATGGATCACACATTCTTATGTGTGCCACTGCTTCCCTGAGACGATGGTTGTGATCTCTCTCCATTCCTCCCTCCTCCCTTTTCTCTCTCCCATCCCTCCGCACAGCACAACATGCCCTTTTGGAGGATATCAAGTCACTCAGACCTCTTGGCTCTGCATCAAGCACTGGAATTAGAGTATTTGTAACTGTGTTCTCTAACTGGAGACCCATTTTTTATATTTCAACTACACTGAATTTTTATGTGTGATTCAATGCCTCTGGCTCTACACATATAAATTGTCTTAAAGGATGAAATCATATTTGGAATGAAAATTCCAGAATGAAGAATTCAGATTGCTGAATGGAATTAAACTTTAGTGCTACAGAAAGAAAACTCTATGGTCTTATATTTACAACATTTTAATGTTTTTTTTTTTTTTTGAAAAAAAAAATTGTGGTGGTTGCTGGGACAAACCAAATGAGTCCTAACTGGAATTAACAGCTTTAGCAAAGAACTCTTACCCTGCAGAGCAGCAACTTCCAAGCTCATCTGACAAGGTGGTCAACAACATTCCTCACAATGGGAAATCTTCTCAGCCCTGAGGTTTGAAACTGACTTTAGCCTACCTAGCCCAGAAAATCTGAATTGGAATGCACTCAGACTGTATAAGGACAGTCCTATCCAGACCTGTAATTTTGTGTAAATTATTGATGAAAATAATTTACTGTGACTTTATTAACAGCTGACTTTGAAAGTGGATGCAATTTTTCTTTCATTTGTTGGGGAGGGCAGAGGGATGGGGTAAGGGGATATAATATTGTCTCTTTTTTAAGTTTGGCAAACAGAATGTTCATACTGATGTGTTGTGCCTTAAAGACAAGACAACGTCTGTGTGTTACAATGTAACTTTGGTTAAAATCTCTGTAGATAATGGAAACCAAAAACATTTGTTATAATTTTATCATGACCAAATTTAAAATTCAAGCTATCAAAGCCTAATGACAACATCAGCAAGGAACTGAGCATTTGTTGCAATAAGAAAACAATAATAATAAAGAAAACTTGTGTTTTATTTCGGTTCTTAATAATTCCAATAATTGTATAAGGCATCTATTTGTCCATCCAACCATAAGCAGAAGGTTTGGGAAAGACTATGGGACCTTTACTTAGAAAGTGAAATGTATGTTGAAGTCTCAAGTACCCCTTTCTGCAGTTTTACTGGAAAACTAAGAGCCATATTCATGACAACTTGCACTGTTTTGAGTGAGACTTTTTGAGATGTTTAAGTTGCCTAGAGGAAGTTATTATCATACAGATCATAAATAATTACCATACACAATTTTTAGAATATGCCATGGATATGGCTTAAAATAAGGCTGTGTTTGTTCCCAATGCTGTTGCAAAAATGTCATCACTAGTAGATGGTAGATGCCCTGGATGGCTTGTAAGAAAAGAAGTGAGTCTATGAAAATTTTAACTAGAATATCATCATAAATTAAATTAGCAAGTGTGTTGGATCTTGGCAGCAATATCGAAATGACAACAGTAAAACAGTACCTGTGTACCTGTTTCTTCATCTTAACACATCAATCCATTACAGACTTGTGTATCTTAGCTTCTGCCTGTACTGTCATTGCACAATGGACTGCATTAATGGCGAGGAGAACCTGTCATCGCTGTGTTTGCATGCCCCCCTCCCCGTTGGTGCGTAGCCCATGTTGGGAACACGATACAGGTTCTTCTGTCATTTTCTATGACGTCATTTCCCTTGTGGACATTTCAGACTTAAAGATCTCAAGTGTTTTACTGATGTCTGCATCTGCAGTTCTTTGTTTAAAATGTCATTATATGGATTGTGGAGGCCTGCTACATCATGCCCCTAACTGGTATGGCTGTTGATGGCTCAAGGATGGTTTATCAGTTGTTGGTCCAATGGCTTCAGTAAGGTTCACACTTTGTGCAAAAATCACAAAATTCACCATGGAAATATGAGTTTATTTTATCAGGCTCAAAACTTTTGTTTCCTTACTAAATGCTAAGGTCATGTTTACTTTGGGCAGAAAGATACTGAGATCTCAATTTTGCATAAACTTCAACGTGTTTTTTAAATGTTGTAAGCTTTAGGCTATCTCTTCCCCAAGTATTGTTGCAGGTAAATTAAGATTGGAATACTTTTGATAGTAATAATAATATTAAATCATGTTATACTTCTGTTGGCCTCTAGTTTGAACATATATGATTTAAAACGTTAAAGAATTACATTGATTATCAGTACTTGATTGTTTTATGCATTAAAGTTTATATATTTATTACTGTGAATAAAACAAAATTAACTTTACTATGTAGCCAGTTTCTTTAAATGATAGAATTGTGGCATCACATCTAAATTTTTAATTCTTTTTCTTATCAGATAAGCAAGGCCTCTTATGCTGCTAAACCTGCAGGTGCAGAAAGAAACATCCTGTCAAAGGGCAAGGCAAGGCTGGCTGATGCATCACTCGATGCTCTCTCTCTCCCACAACTTTCTTCATTTTTGATTATGTGTTCAAAAGAGATGGCCAGCATAGAACCTAAATGCTAGGTTGATGGAAAAAAGCTTGTCTGGCACAAGAGTGGTGCAGGCCCATAGGCCAACATCACAACTTAGTCCCCTGGTCCTGTGACTTTGAGCAAGCTCAAATAGAATTCTTCGCTTCCCACATTAGGAACAAAAGCTCTTCCTTTCTGATCTGAAAAACAAAAAGTAAAAGTAAACCAATGAATAAAAAAGCTGCCCCTTTGGCAATTCTCACATTCTATTTTCACATAGAATATTGTGCCTTATTATAAAACAGTTTGAAAAATATTCTATAACTAAAATAAGTTTTCGACTACTATCACTACAAACTGAGAACGATAACTACCTTGTATTGCACCTTAAAAATATCCAGACCATGCAGTTTTAGTAATAAAGTAGTTGACTTGCTACAACATTATGCATAAGAGTATGACACCCTACAAAACTGTGTAAATCAAATTCAGAGGCAAAAAAAAGTATTTTCGAATTATGCAGTTTGTGCACAAAAAGTAGGTAATAACTCTGTATAAAAATGTTTTTCTCTTAGTCTCTGGTGAGCTAAGATCCAAAATAGTGTCAACAGCATGTTCCTGTATGAAGTTGTTTTTGAAACACATTTGTTTTTGACAAGCCTACATTCTCAGTGAATACAGCGTTAGGTGTTTGTTTGAAAAACAAACTTAAGCATCATGAGCCAAAGTTGCATTTTGACTCCCACCCATGGTAGCATTATGGAACTCTCACCACGTCAAGGGTTTCTGTTATGTATTAGTAAAGTGTAGATTATCGGGGCCTACATAATTTAAAGAAATGTAAATTAATAATAAAAGCTTGTAAAAATATGTACATCTTTACTATTTCTCAATAAATACCTTTGCAAATGTTTTCATTTTCTTCGCCCTCACATGTTGTAGTTTCTGTGTATATTAACTTGGTTCTGAATCATGTGAGATTTTGTGTTTAAGTTTTCTGTGCTTAAATTTCCTGTTTTGCAATTTTGGTAAAATGAGGTGCAAGCCAGTAAAATGTCATTGTTGAAGGCCACCAGTGGGCTGGTTTACTGAGGAGGTGACAGTTGCACAGACTTTTTACTTATAAATAGATAGATTCAAGCATAATGCAGATTGCAGCCACAATTAATTTATAATAAAGTAATGTGTGTTGAAATATGTAAAGCAAGTTCTCTTTGGATGAATATTAAACATGGTTCATAAGACTCTTCCAAGAGTTTTCTGAAATAGATTTAATAGCTCTTTGTTATCTAGTGTATAATATTGATTTATTTGTAGATTTGCTTTTCACATGCAAACCAAAGGCAAATTTCAGACCAACTTCTGCTCACTCACAGCTTTTTAAAATGCTTATCTCAAAATTAATGAAATTTAATTTAAATGATGTAAGAATTCTCTAGTAAGCCTGACACTATGCAAAAATCAATTATGGACTACAAGAATTGTATGCATCTTTAAAAAACAATGGAATACACACACTTCCCTCCTATTCTCTTATAATTTCAACCACTGTTGAAATTTGATTTTGTGAGAAAGACTAAAACATATGTATTGTTTCTGGAACCCCAAATAATTATATCATATCTGCCTGTTGAACATGCTTGCTGGGATGAGAGGACATCCCAAATAAAAATATCCACATCTCTGCTTCTGCCTCCTCCACTTCTCACCTCTCCCATGACTGCCTCCCAATTTATACCCATAATCATTTCCCATCTAGGTAGCTACAGTAGCTGCTAGCTGGATATACTTTGGTTCTTGCACCCTTTCAATACACAGCTTCCCAGTAGCCAGGGTGATGCTATGGGTGAGAACACAGCCCCCCTCTCCCCAGGAGCTTCCAGAAGTTAGCTTTCCATCTCACTAACACAAACTCCAGTGTCCTTAACAACAACCTGGAAGGCCCACATAACAATCTAGGGATCATAAGCTCTGCATGTTTTTCTGCCCTCATCTAGCTCATTCCTCACCATCAAACTAGCTCCTTGATTTTCTTGGCATTTTCCTGTACCCACCTACTCCAGGACCTTTGCACTCACTGATCCCTTTGCTTGAAAAGGTTTTCACCCAGATAGCTGTACCTCGTATGCCCATGGTTTTCGTCAGCTCTTTATTCAAAGGACCACCTTCCCACCAAGGTTCCTGCTTTAAAATTGCTCATGTTTTCCTGGCTCTTGCCATTTTTCCACTTTTTCTATTAATTAATACTTAACGCTTAGATTCATCCAACAATATACACATTTTATTTATCCTGTGTATTGTGTGTCTCATCTATTTTAATGTTTGCTCCTTGAAGGCAAGTTTTGTTTTGTTTTGTTTTGTTCATTTCTGTATAAGCAGTATCTAGGAAGGTGTTAGGTGTATAGTATTCAGAAATCATTTGCTGATTGATTAGCTAAACTGTAGAAAACTTATGTGATCACGCCTAGAATTAAAGAGATTTAAAATAGGATAAAAAGAGAAAACACACAGGTAAGTTTGGATGAGACCAATGTAAGTTTTTCCAACTTACTGGAATGTTTTCTGACCTCATAATTCATGAAATAAATAACAGTTAGGGCCATAAGCAAATATGCCTTTGATAGAAGGTTATAATGATCTGAACATGATCCACCAGACAATCTCAAGATTGCAATGTGTCAGTGACTACTGCCATACCTGCCCCCATTTTCCTCTTTTGTTAAAATAAAAGCATGCAATATCAGCATCCTTAGTTGACTCAATTTATTCAAAGTCATGTAGCATCTTGTAAAAATTAGATCTTTTCACAAACTTGAGTCCAGGACAGAGAGAGAGAGAGAGAGAGAGAGAGAGGGCGGGGGGAGGAGGGAGAGAGAGGGAGAAAAATGCCAGGACTGGGCCAAACCAAAGCTAAAAATCAGGAACTCAATCTAGTTTTCCACATGGGTGTCAGGGATGCAAATACTTGAGCCATCATCTGCTGTCTCTAAGGGTGTGCATTAGCAGGAAACTGAAATCAGAAACAGAACCAGGACTCAAACTCAGGCACCTCCCTATCAGGCACCTCCATATGGAATGCAGGTGTCCCAAGTGGTGCCATCACTTCTGTGCCAAACACCTGCTCCCAAGTCCCAACTTTCAATGACAATAGCAGCCATTATTGCTTGGCTGTTCCCTGATCCAGAAAACATTCCAGGACTGTGTTAGCACACAGTTTGAAAAATGTTTTAATATAACATTCTAAGGAATCTCTGAAGAAGTAGATAATACTATATGAGCTAGGTGATTATTCACCCACCCACCCCAGCCAGTGCCTTTTGACTGGGGCTTGTGAGGACACTGTATCTGACTGAGGGGCATCATATTGTCCTTTATAGTCCTGAAGTCTTAGATGTTTTGTGCCAGATGGCTGCCATGGTATATCAGTTGAGTTCTCAGATTAGACATTGGTAGAAGAAAATCTATGGAATTGTAAGAGTGTATGTGTGTTTGTGTGTGTGTGTGCACTGAGAGAGGGGAAGGAACCACCAAGTAAATTAGTCTCTACAGAAATAAAGTAGATTAGGGCCTGTTGTGAACTCATCCTGCTCCTTACCCTCAAGGCTCTTACACGGCTCAGAGGGAGTGTCTGATCAGGGTGTTAGAATTGAGTAAGCACAAGGGCATGGCAGATCATTTTCAGAGAAAACTAACCAGTAACCATCAAGAATATTCCTGGGAAAATGATTCCAAAGCCAAAACTCCAAGTACAAAATGGGGAACACCAGGAAAAGAGATAGTTGATTGGCAGCATCTAGACAAAGTGAAAAATATATGCATATGTAAGAGAGGAGAGTAGAGTGTGTAGTCAGGCAACTGTGATTCTTTCTGGAGCACAGAATGAATTGAGGAAAGACTAGTACAAAATGAGACTAAGAAATAAATAAGGACCAGATCAGAAAGATTTAAAAATTGGTTTATTTATGTAAAAGTTTATTATTTTATTTTTTATTATGTTTTCTTCTTAATACCATTGGTTGAACTCTTTCCATTACATAGAATTAACCTTAGGTGTCTAAATTCAATTGAAAATAGATCACAGTAAAAAATAAAAGTGGGAATAAGAGAAGGAGGAGCTGTAGAGCTCAGCATTCCCACACACTTACCCCTAAGGGTAAAGCCAAAAACTTGTCATGGGACTCCAAATCCCATTAAGCTGAATGGTACAAATGCCATCTTACGTTAAAGTGATCATATTAAGTGTGTAATTGATCATATAGATAGGATTAAATGTCAAATGGATCACATAAATAAGACCACGTGTCTGGTAATAACAATAGATAGAATTATAAAGGAGAGAATGTTCCAACATGGGAAGCAGTCCACATGGCAGACTCATAGAATGAAAAATGCCCTAAACAGCACTCAAACCTCAGAACCAGCCCTTAAAGCATTCAGATCTGGCTAAAGAGCCCATGAGAGCATTTCAGGCATGAGAAGCCAAGACACTGTGGCAAAAAAAATGATCTACATGAAGGATCTCTGTGAGTGAGACCCCAGTGGAAAGAAGGGGCCATCAGAGAAGGATACACTTTTCTCTAAAGGGAGAAGAGGACTTCCACTTTGCTTACAGCCCTGTCTAAATACTGACAGAGTGTGTGCACTCAAAAGGATTCCATAGCCTTGGCAGCTCATGTCAAGAGCCTTGGGTGATCACTGACATCATACATACGAGTGTTAATTAAATTTACAATAGGAGTCACTATGCACTTACTCCCCATGTAGGACCTCTGTCCTTAATGAGATGTACTATGATAATTAACTGTCAAACTTGTTTTCAAACAGTGCTTTATACTTTGTGTGTATGGGGGTGGGGGTGCAGGTACAAATTGTTGAAGTCTTTACTTAGTATAGAATTAGTCTTCTGTATATAAAGTTAATTGAAAATGAACCTTAATGAAGAATGGGATAGGAGAGGGAGTAGGAGGTGGGACAGGAATAGGGGAGGAAGAGAGGGTATAGGGGGAAGAACCACTATATTCCTAAAGCTTACCTATGAAGTTTGTATTCATTAAATAAAAGGATTCTTAAAAAACAAAGCAATAAATAAAAGCAAACAGGGAAAGAACAGTCAGACTCCCATCCACTGTGTCAGTCCCCAGACACCTACAATGACTGGGGCTGGGAGCCAGGGACCCAGTCTGGGTCTCTCACATGGATGGCAGGGACTCAATTATCTGAGCCACCAACCTGCTGCCTTCCAGTGTGTACTAGCAGAAGCTGGAATCTGGAAGGGAGCTGGAATTTGAAATTGTGGGTATCCAGAGTAGTGTCTTAACTACTATGCCAAATGCTTGCCCTACCTAATAAGGATTTCAATGCATCGGTGTGTCTCAGTGTTATTCTGGGTGCAGTGGGTATGAAAGAAAGGTTCAGACAGAATCTCTTGTGTCCTGATTTGTACTTTGTAACAGTATAATTTCACTTTGGGTCCAAAAAAAACTCAAAAGCCATGTAAATGAAAAGTTTTCAGAAAGTTCATAGAAGATGTGTGTTACGCATGGAATAAAAACAATTTTTCCCCAAATTATACAATCTTTTAATGGTATTTTCTAGAAAAATTTTCAGGTACTCTGAAAATTCAGATTTAGCAGCATTCTTTCTTCTCACATCTTCTGGAAAATCCAGCCTGCACTCTAGATTTCTGGGTTGAGTAGTTTGGGTTGTTGTGATGATATTCACAGAAATAAGAACCACAAAGGAAAAAAGGTAATGATTGCTGTCTTACTTTGGATGCTGCTTATTTTTGGATGGAGATACTGAGTTCAGTTTCTGGAAATGTACATTTGGAGGCAACACTGGGCCTTAGGGTGGAATTGTCCAGTGGGAGACTGAATTTGCAATGATTTTCTGGTTATTTGTTAAACATGTTGCTAGGTCATAGATGAATTAC